TCCCAGCATACACTCCAATAGCCCTCTCTGCTCTCTCACTTTTTATTTTATTTTAATCTCTCTCTCTCTAACTCACCCACACACTCATACTGATAGCCATCAGTCTGTACCTCTAAATACACAAACAAATCTGAGCACACACACACGTGCTGCTCTGGGCCCAGATTGGACAGAGGACTTCCTAATTATCCTTTAATTGCCTGTCTCTGTCTGTCCAGCTGCCTCATGTGTAAAAAACAGAGCAGCGGCCTGATTGATCACTCCAGACTGAACATATTGTGAATGACACTAAAAGATGGGCTCGAAAGGGAGAAAAAGGGTGAGGGGGGGAGACAAAGAATAAAATCAATGAGAAATGACTTGGCGAAAGATGCGGGACTTGATGCAGACGAACACTGCTGATGTCTATTTCCACGCCATGTTTTTGCCTCCCACCAGACATCAACACCACCCGATCATCCTCGGTTTTGTTTGTTCTGTGAAACATATTTTGTCAAACAGGCTGTCTTACTTCATTACAGTTTATCATCATTATCTCGTAAAAATATAAAATAACAGCTCTGGAAATGAGAATGTTTAACAGTTTTAATCCCAGTGTGTCTGATTAATTTGCATCAGTGGTTAAAAATCAGCGGTTAAAATGCTTTGTTAGAAACGCAACTCGATCAGATTATCATTGTCCTTCTGCTTCTCTGTGTAAAAATTTACAGATTCTTACTATTTATAACTTTAACATCTTTCAAATTTGTATTTTTGTTTATAAGATTTATGTAAGTCAAGAGGACTTACAGTACCAAAGCATTTCACCCATTACTTTAAATCAAATATGCAGTTTCATTATTACTTAACTTGCCAGAGCTCAGCGCTTCATCCTCCTAAATATCAAACAAGCCGAGGTCAGTTTTCTCTCCGTTACAGGGGAGCTAAAGTTTGGAATGATTTTTCGCATTTGGTAACAGGCAGGCTGTCTGTAAAAGAGTTTAAATGTTATTTAAAACTATTTAATTAAAGAATTGGGATTGTCACATTTAAATTGTTACATATTTTATTCAAATTTCCATTAGTACTTTGTAGATGTTTTTTTTTTTTTCTGTATGACTGTATTCCTAAATTTATGATCAATTTACTGTATTTTTGGATAATATTATTTTTTCTATACGATTTGGGTGGAGGTATTATATAAGTCCGCTGGGCTTCTGCCTCTTCCTGCACTGTTATTATTATTATTATTATTTAATATCTTTGATCTGTATTTAAATTGTGCAAAATAAACTAAAGAAAACTAAAATGTACCTACGTGACACAAAAAGATGTTAGTGTGTTTCCACACAAACAGTGCTTATGTATTGCTAAAGATTAGCTGTCAGATGTTTAATCTACATAGTTGAATAACAGAAATGTTCATATTAGTTCTAAAAAAAAAAAAAAAAATCTACTGTTCTCCACGAGTCGCTGCTGTACACACTAGTTTTCTCTTGTTGCACGATTCCTTTTAAAATTGTTGACTTATTAACCTGTGATGTTGAATTTCTTTAATTTTATTCTCATCATTTTCATCAGTGGAGTTTATTAAAAGTGGATCAGACAAAACAAAAACATAAAAAGGGCAGAAGTTGCCAAAACTGGTGCTTGGGCTCATGTCAGGACAAATGAAACATTTGGTTTCTGGTAGCAAGGAGATAATCAGATGAATTAGGATTCATGCTTCAGGCACTAAATGTGACATTCGTTTGATAGTTCTAGAAGGTTTTCATGAAAATGACAAAGTTCAAGCTGTCATTAGACAGATCCATGGTGCTAGTAATGCATTGAACCTTTTGTATGCATGCCAGATTTCATGTTGTCTACGTGACAATGGGAATCTTTCCCATGCAGCACTTAACGGGACTCTTATATCCTAAGTGCTGTTGAAAAAAGCAACTCTTCATTTGCTCAAACATTCATGTAGGATTCCTTGGCTGGCTTTCTGTTTGTTTTGGCAGAGAAACACAAGACTTTTTTATATTTTTGGGGGGTGTATCCATTTCTCAAGCACAAAACATGAGTATCGGTTTGTAAACTAACATTGGTTTACTTGAGAGGAACATAAATATAAAAAAAAAATTGTGGGAAAAAATGGAAATTGAAGGGCAGCATTAAAGATCGAGTCAAGGGCAGTGAATAGAGTGAACAAGTGATGCAAGAGAAAGTAGAAAACTGGAGAAAAATGTGAGATTTTTCCATCAAATATCGGCACGTTGATGACCTTTGACCCCTCTGTGGTTTGTGGGTTGTGATGAATCACTGCATCTGACTGCAGTGGAAGAAGTCTAACAACATACGTCAACAACAGTGTGGGATTTTGACAGTCCACACTATTATCTCCCTCACTTGTACCAAGCCCTTGTCTTCCTTTTTTTTTTTTTGCCTCCTTTCCTCACAGCAGCCAGATAACAAGGCGGCCATCGCTCAGCTCCTCTCATCTCTCTTTAGATGTTCTCAGCAAACTCACTTTCATCTTCCCCGTCTGCATTTCTCTGCCTTGTTAATAAAGCTACCCTGTCAAAGAGCGGTGATTCCCAGAAGTCCGTCCTCTCCACTCTTAACAGTTTTTCCACAACAAATAAATTATTCAGCTGTAGATTTTGTACCCCAAAAATTGATGGTATGATTAATTTATGTTATCGTACAGAATGTGGGCTTATGCTCTTCATTAGCAATTTGTAAGTCCTCAAATTGGATCATCAACATCTGTCTAGATTTCTCATTTTGAATATTTTTTGGGGCTCATTCTGATTGGCCTTTTTTTTTTTTTTTTTACTGATTTTCTTTTTAAAATTTTGTTGTAAACAAGAATTATGTATTTGCATTTTAATACATTTTAATATGTCTCATTATTGAGCCTTACAGTTATGGAAAATTGTGCATCCACACTGCCTTTTGAAGGATTTACAAAATAACTTGTTGCTGTAGTTGACTGACTCCAACTTTTTTAATCATTGTTACTCAACTGACATACAAATATTGTTATCACCCTCCACTAAAAGACCTGACTGTGCATGTGTGTGCATTTGAATGTCTGATGTACAACTGATTAACATTTAAAGTCAAGATGGCTACCACAGAAACTGACATTAGCAAAAACAAAACATGGCTATAACAGCCTGTTTTGCAAACACCAAGCTAAACTTTAGTTTGTTAGTAGCTAAAAGGCATCTCGAACACACACACCCCGAGTGCTACACATAAATTTTTGGCATTGTTTGTTGGAGTCAACCAGTAATCACAGTTGCCCCCAGAAAAGCTTGAACTCCATCTTTTCTCTGCATACGATGATGTTACTTTGAAACTTTGGCATGAAAATGGCAGACAGTTTGCATCCCTTTAGGGACTCTTAGGCCGTTAATTGTTATTTTGTAACCAAAATGTTGGGTGTAAATTTGTGTTTGCATGCATAGAAACCCTCTGGCATGACTTTGGTGTCACATGTCATCGCTAGCTGCACAACTGTGTGTCAGCTGCACAGCTGATTGAACCATGTCTGTACTGTGTGTTTGCAGAGGCCAAACATCGCATGAATGAATGAGCCACTGTAGCGGTGCATGTTTGAATATCCTGGCAGACGTTGCGCTATAAAAGCTTCTAAAAGTCATAGACCGCAGCCTCTTGTCGCTGATCTGTGTGTGAGGAGGGATGAGAGCAAACCACCCAAGGCAATGCAGGAAAAGGCATGCTCCAGTTCTGACACAGACGCCACACGGCTGTCCCCACTTCTTACTACTCACCGTTTGAACATTTGGAAGCCCCGAGGCTATTAAGCAAACACACACACACAGGCTTTTAGTCTAATAACACATGCCGACAAGTTGTAGTTATTGTGCTTTTATTTGTATTTCTCTCTGAGTCTTCTTGTTCCTTTCTGTTTTTCTATAAAATTGAGCACGTTGTTCAATCCCGAACTAACCCAAGTAATAAAACCTTTGTTTTAGCCATTTAAGTTTGTCAAGCTCTTAGAACATATCACACTGCAAGTAGCTGGACTTTGCAATATAATGGGCTTTTATTGTTGTCTTCTATATTTTGCTTTAATCGTTGTGTATCAGAGCAAATATCAAGTTCTAGAATTGCGCCGCTCAAGGTGGCTGCATGTTGGAGCAGCTCTGTTACTTTCATTCTGAGATTTTGCTTTTGGAAACTTTAATTCCTCTTTTTCTGGATGTAAATCACATTTTTTGGATGATTGTTTCCTCTGTTATCAGAGGCTGTGCAGCTGGAAGGATTTTTACTGAAACTTTTTTAGTTTTGGACATTTGTTATGATGCGTAACCATGCCAACAAGGCAGTTTTCTACAACAACAGCAGCTGATTAACATCTCAAAAGCTCAAATAATATCTCAGCTACAGCCCCAAATCTCAAATGAGTTGAAAGGATGTTCTGTGGATGCATTCTCATCTACCCGCCAGCTGTGCTCGAGTGCCTGACCACTGAGATCCTGGAACTAGCAGGACACACGGCTCATGACAGCGAAAGGACAGGATCGTCCCTCAGCACCTAAAGCTGGCTGTCCGCAGCAATGAGGAGTTCGGCAGACTGCTGGAAGGAGTGGCCATCGCTCTCGGAGGAGTTCTGCCCGGCATTTGGGCGGTCCTACAGCCCATGGAAACTGAGAGACCAGCCGAGTCTGCGTGGACGGATCAGACGGCATCTGCAGCCAGTTTCTTAGGATCCACTGTGGGATGGACCTTTACAAGAGATCCTTCCTGCCTACAGCCATCAGTGACTATAACATCTCTTAATGAAATGAGGATAACAAGTTACTACAACAAATAATTTCCCTCCGGGATTAATAAAGTATTTTTGAATTAAATTGAATTGAAATCAGTTTGATTGCCTATTGGGAAGGTTTCACTGAGCAGCAGAGACAATTTCAACATTTATTCACCCACAGCCCTCATTTATCTTTATCTTAAACTAAAAGTTTATAATTTTTCTGCTTTTGCGTCTGTGTTTATTTCTCCAGTTTGCAGTGCAGAGCTGACTGTGAAGGTGACTCCAGAAGTAGAGGTGATGAAAGGAGAAACAGCCAAACTGCCCTGCACCTACACTGGTGCACAGTCAAGCAGCACCATTGTTGAATGGTACATTGTAAGTATTGTTACACGTTCTATATCGCCAAAATAGTTAACCCTTGAACTGTCTTTTGTGGGAAAAAAAAAAATCAGCCACACATTTAATTTGTCTGTGTTTTTATTTATTTATTTATTTTGGTACAGTCAATAAACATGATTTTTTTGTTTCTTTGAAAGCATAAAAATCCTTCTACTTTTTAAAATTTTGTCAGAATTTTTTCAAATGTTGTCATTAAACATGTTCATCTGGGGAAAATTCTGCCACATTAGATTACAGTAGTCCCTCGTTTATCGCGGGGAATCTGTACACTGAAGCCCCGCGATGAGTAAAAACCCATGAAGTAGGAATAGTAGTACAAGTAGCAAGTAGTAAGTAGTAGTTTATTTTAATATATATGTGTATACACACACACATATATATATATATATATATATATATATATATATATATAGGCATTTTAAAACCCTTCCCACACTCTCGCAATATTCTAAACAATGTTTCTAAACGTTCTAAAAGAGCAGAGAATGTCATGATTTCAGCTTCCTGCCTCCTCTGCTCTCAGCCACCTGCAAGCGCTTTTGGCCACGCCCACTTCTATGCTCTGCACGGAGAACAGTTTATCAGCTGCAGCAGGAAGTTTATCCTGCAGTAGTATGGATTGCACAAAGGTGCAGCAGGTGTTAAATAATTTAAAATAATTTACCTTAAATAAAAATTCCATGCCAATCATGAGGCTCATCCATCAAACAGCCAATTGTGTGTCATGTCCAATTTTATTTTGAAAAACCGCAATAGAGCGAGACCACGATAAACAAATAGCGAAGGACTACTGTGTTAGCCTACTTGATGGTGCCACACTTTAATATTTGAGAGTCTCTGAAACAAATCTACAGAGTCTGTTCAATTGAGCGTGTAAAAGGTACGTCTTTCCCAGCCAGAATTGCTGCAGAGTCCTGCCTCTCATTTTTTCAAACAAATATTTTTTAGTTTGGATTCAACAAAAAGTCACTTGTAGTGTGCACACGTAAATATTTAGTGCTAAAAAGCTGTTTCACAGGCATGCAGGCTGCAGAATAGGACATTCCATGGCTGACATTGGCTGACTGTCATAATTTTCCGAAGGATGGAAGCATTTAGTAGGTGGACAGGACACCTGCAGCCCACTTGTACATCCAGGTCAATATAGGCAAAAAATAAATCAATAAATAAATTAGTGATATGGATGCTGTTAGAGAGGACATGGGTGCAGTTGGAGAGGACATGAAGGTAGTTGGAGTGAGGACAGAGGATGCAGAGGACAGAGTGAGGTGGAGGAGGAGGATTCGCTGTGGCGACCCCTGAAGAGGGAAAAGCCGAAAGAAGAAGAAGAAGAAGAAGAAGATCGTGGGCAGAGTTAAAATATTATATAGAAAATAAATAAATAAAAATTAGAAAAAAAAAAAAACGTTTGAGGACTGGAAGACACAAATCAGATTGACAGAAGCAACTGAATCGAAGGGCCTGATGGTCTGGAGAGTCTTCACAAACCTGCGGACTGGAATTTTGAACACAAAGTCCAAAATATTTTCAGGCATACTGATTTGGGGGGGGGGGGGGGATTGTCTGCTTTCAACATAAAATAAATATTTGTGAATCATAAATAAACTGAAATGTGGCTTAAGCAATAGGCCCTTGTTAAAATAAAATATATATATTTATTTTAATGGTGGCACGGTGGTGCAGTTGGTAGAGATAATGCCTCTCAGCAAGAAGGTCACTGGTCACAAATCCCGGCTGGAGGCCTTTCTGAGTGGATTTGCAAATTCTTTCTGTGCATGCGTGGGTTTTCTCCAGGTGCTCCGGTTTCCTCCCACAGACCAAAAAACATGCACGTTAGGCTGATTGGTAACTCTAAATTGTCCCTAGGTGTAAGAGAGAGAGAGAGTGAATGGTTGTTTGTCTCATTTGTCTCTATGTGTCCTTGTGATGGACTGGAGAAATAATAATTAAAAAAAAAAAAAAAATGGTTGGATGAAAATATTTAAAATTTTAACCCACAACATAATAAACAACATTTTTAAGCAGTTAAATAAAGTGGTTGATTTTTTTCCCCTAAGGAACATGAATGGTCTTGACGTTAAAGGATGATTTAAGGGTTCAAGACAAGAATCAAATGTGTCTTACATATTTATTAAATACATTGACAGAAACAATTTTGCTGTCATAAAATAATGTCTATTGATATAGTCAATTCTTTTTAAATGTAACCTTTTTTGTTATACCTCATGTTTGTCCCAACTTCTTTCTTCATGCTCCTTGGTCCAGGAGGAACAGGGCGGCAGGCAACGTGTAGCTTTCATCCCCCAGGGCGAGCAGGGAAAAAGCGATGAGGACACTCCACTGACTGGCCGGGTCACTATTGGAAAAGACTTCACGTTGACCATCACATCCGTTAAACCTTCTGACGAGCTCACCTTCTACTGCCAGGTCACAGCTGGCCCTGAAGGATCTGGAGAGGACAGAACCATGCTCAAAGTATTCTGTACGTTAGCTGGTACCTTTTGGCTACTTCGACTGTTGCCGTCACTGCCTGTGAAGGTTTTAGGATTTCAATATGTGAGATATGTGTGCGTGTGTTCACACTTGGCTTAATAGCATCTAATGAAGTTTATTGCATTTCACACCAACATCCTTCAAAATACTCTACATTCCTCTAAGCAGATGGCTTATTACAATCATCTGGGTATGTCAAAATAAAATAAATAAAAAAAAGACTTAGCTGTCTTTTTTAATATGTGGCAATGTTAGGCCTCACAGATGCCTGAGGTTACCAAATTCTTTTAACTAGTTCTCCAGAGGTCAATTAACCACAATTTAATCACTCCTGACATTACTGATGAATAGTTCAATCACACATGTCATGTCTCATATATCTCTTCTTAATAAGACTCTAGAATGCTAGGGGCTAACCCTGGTGCAGCGCCATGTGTCCTTGCTCCTCCCACAGTGGGTGAACATTAAAAAAAAGTATTAATTTGCATTTTCAACAGGACCCTTAGTCTCTCTTGAAAGGGAAGAATTTTAGTTGAGAGAACTGAAAAACAACCCCACATTTAGTTTAACCACCTCTTGGGGAATAAAGAAAAGCTTCTAAGTAATCCATTAACATGCATGCTCTAGGAGTGACCGGTGTTTAAACTCATAAAACAAGCCGTTATTTGTGAGTGGCCCAGTCAGTGTTAGGGAGTACCTCAGTGAAGTGATATTTGGAGAAAAGGGCAAGGAAACAGCTACTTGTCTTACAAGCCAGCAATTATTCTTTGGTGTTCATTCATTTGACTGCTTGACTCACTGGGGTTTAATTGTGGTGTCTGCCCTGCCTTCAATGGTACTGTTGGTAGGTCAGCTGCAGCAGTAGCTGGTACCGGTAGCTGGTAATGTTAAAAAAAAAACACAATTAAAACACCTAAATTCCAAAAATGTTGTTGATTTTAGTATAAAAAGATGTAAAAGAAAAATTAGGGTTTCATTTTCTCTTCTTTTTCAAATTTGTTCATGTGTGATGGATATGGCTTCTTGTTTTTTTTACCATGTGTGGAAAGGGAATGAGTATTTTAATCAAGAAGCAGTTTTGGAAACCTCACAGAAAAAGACAAAAGGATCACATTCCCTCCCCCTCTTGGCACTAACCCTGGTTTTGGTGAGTCCTTGAGAGGGTAATGGTCCTTTAAAATGGAGCTACACGTAAAAGAGCTTGAATTTTTTTTTAACCTGAATAAATGACAACTCTAAAGGGCCTTTGAATGGGGCTGATTTCTAGGAAAAAATAATCCAGCTAACATTGTGCCTACACCAAACACGTTTAGGTCCGAGTGGCAGGGAACATGGCAGACATCGGGATTGTGCTTGGAAGGTCAAACGATTGAGAAACGGAAAATAATTTACATTTGCGATTTATTTTCATGAGCTGCCAGCAGCTGCATGAGGTGATAGGACAACCTTGAACCAGTGAGCTTGGAAATAAAACAGAGAAACAAAAGGGAATGCTCACACCTGTGGCTGTGTGAGCGTGTGTGTGAGCCAGGGAGTAGGAAGTGGGAGATTTCTGTTGCTCGACCCTTATCTGCTTATATGAACCAGGTCACTGAGGAGATTACTTACTGCCAGTTTTAATTAACAAGGTCACCAGATGTGTGGTTTGGGATACAAATGTGAAGCCTTAACAATTGTGTGCATTCTTTTAAGAAAACACTTCTTTTTTTTCCAGTGAATCATATTAATTATTAATTGTTTGTCTTCCCAGTCACTCCGGAGAATCCAGAACTCGTACAGCCGTCAAGTCAGGCCATTACAGCAGGGCTGACCACCAGCTCAGAGGTTTGTAGACTTCCATGTTATGTGCTATGTTTGTGTATTTGCCACATGCAGGTTAACACAAGGTGAACAATGCAATGACATTTTCAGGATGAGAAGAACCGTTTTGACTCGCTATAAAAACAAGTAATACTAAAAATAAAGTACCAAAACGTGAAAAAGAAACATAATATTTAAAAGGTCCAAAAGAAATAAAGTTAAAGACAACATGGTAGAATATAACGGTGCAAGTAGGATTTTCAACCTTTGGATGAATTAGTATAAATAAGTATTTCACAGAGAGTAATATTAGCTTAATTGCACACAACTAACATTGACACAGGTTGTGTGACAGGTTATTGCACAGGTAGTGAGTAACGTTCAGATGAACTGGATTATGATGGGAAGGTAGTGACATACACGATACAGCCACATAATGCAGCAGCAATAAACATATTACGTGTCACAGATGTAGCTTAGTGCTATGTTACTGTCAATAGTTCAGTGTTATTGTGACGTGTTCAGAGGCCGTTCTGTGTTGTTAAGCGTTCTGTGTGCCTGTACATTGCATTACTTTGACTGAATTTGCACTCTAAAGTTCTATCTTATCCTCTTCCTGTGTTTTTGGTATTTTTATCAGATTGGCATTTGCACGGCAAGAAATGGACACCCTCAGCCAAGAATTATTTGGTTCAAAAACAATGAGCCTCTTCCTCAAGTCAAAGACAAAAAAGAGAGTATGTGCCCTCTAGATAGCAAAACTTGAAGTTTTTGTTAGTCTGTTTTTATTGAAAGTCAGTGATTTGATGAACTCTTTATGTATTTTGCAGAAACCTACATGAGTTCCTCTGTGGTGAAGGAGGTCTCGGGTCTCTTTACCATTAAGAGCATTCTGTTCATGCAGCCCACCAAGGCTGACAAGGACGCTGTGTTCCATTGTACTGTGGAGTACAGCATGCTGGGAGGCGAGATCAAACAGAAGATGTCCAACACCATGAAAATCAATCTCAACTGTACGTGTTGTGCTGGGAGCTGAAGGGTTGGGAGATTACATCAAGTTAATCTGTAACAAAGGGCTTTTAGACCAAAAAAACACATTGAGGCCTTTTGTGTGGTTGATTGTTCTTATGATTATTCAGATTTTTAAAGAATAGATGCGATATGTGAATTCTGTGGGAAGTAAGTGGATAAACTGATAAAAACACCTGTTTAATCTAAGAAATACATTTGGACGTTTGCAACAAACAATCATGCTGCCATAGGAAAAATGGACAATCTCATTCCTATACTTCTTACTGAGAGCCAACAGTAGAAAAGATTTAGCTGTAAATTGGTCAAATGTCATATTTTTCAGTAGTTTATACCTCATTTAAAGGCTTTGTGGTGCTTCCTGCTAACTATTAACAACCGTTTCTAATCAAGCAAGAATGTCAGCCCAATGTTGGGGTACAAATTTAGATAGAAAAATTAAACAGCTTAAAAAGCCAAATTGTACCATACCATACCATACTATACAATACCATACCATATCATACCATACCACTTTATTTATAAAGCAGTTAAAAAACAGCAACAAGGCCAACCAACCAAAGTGCTGTACAGCAACAACAAAACAAGCAAAGGACATAGCAAAAAATGCATAGATCCACAGAGGTAAGGATGAGAACTAAATGACTAACATTATAGAATACAGACAAGTTAAAATCAGTTCATACAGTGTCAAAAGCCAGGGGAAAAAAGGTGTGTTTTTAAAGGAGACTTAAAAACAGTGAGAGAGGAAGCCTGCCTGACATGCAGTGGTAACTTATTCCACATTTTTGGACCTGCAACAGAGAAAGCCCTGTCACTTCTGAGCTCAAAACAAATGCCTGGAACCATTAAAAGCATCTGGTCTGCTGACCTCAGAAAACGCTGTGGGGCATATGGCTGCAGCGGATCAACGACATAGAAGGGGCAGAACTGTTCAGAGATTTAAAAACACACAGAAGGAATTAATTCAAAAGTGAACTAAGAGCCAGAGAAGGGAGGCCAGAACAGGATTAATGTGCTCTCTTTTGCCTGCACCAGTTAAAAATTGGGCTGCAACATTTTGAAACAGTTGTAAACTAGGCTTTATGGGTCACGCTCACTTTGATTCTCAAATACTACATAAGATCCACATTTCACTAAGTTATAATAATATTTAATACAAGCAAACAATAAAAACAACAGATGCCTAGTCTACACCATTCAGGATATTGTTTAAAGCAAATATTACTTGATGTGTTTTGACATGTCTTGTCCACACAAACTGTTTTTGAGAAAAAACAGGTGTTCTGAAAACTGCTTTAAAAAATGGAGATTAAAAACAACAAACTCCATTTGTGATGGGTTTGTGTAGACAGGAAATATAAAGGTTTTTAGTAAGAATAATGTAGAACAGGGCTATTCAACTGGCGGCTCGGGGGTCAAATCAGTCCCACAGGTGAGCTTAGTTCAGCCCACAAATGGGTTCATTTTTAAATAAACCTAGATTTTAAACCATTAAACAAACTTATGACAAATGTTGGATGCTCTTGGCTTTCAGTAACTGTGGCCCCTTGAGCAATTTAGTTGTATAGCCCTGATGTAGAAACATATTTCTCTAGTATTACTAGAAACCCAAACAACACTTGACCCATTTTTAGTTTTTTTTTCTTCTTTTCTGTGTCTGTCTCAGTTTATCTCGATCACGTCACCATTAAACTTTGATTCTGTGCAAATTTAATTATTAACTAAAAAGACTACAAACAATTCCAGAAGATAGGAGAACAACAACAAACAAACACACACACACACACACACACACAAACCAATAAAACAAGCAAACTATTCTTTTCGCAACATCTTTAGTGAAGCTTAAACTGTTCTTTCTCTGTCTTTTCATACGTTTCTCATGTGGATGTTCTCGCCACCTAGTGGTGTACTATGAGTGTTTCAGGGTTTTTGTTAAAATGTGTGAATGGAGAAAAAACATAAATGAAGCAAAAAAATCTGTTTAAAATCCATCCAAGAAGCATGGAAAAGCTTTTTGTCTAGAAAGAATCAAGTGTTGATGTGAGGTTGAACATTGTACAAGTGATCAACATTCACCTGTTCCACATCTGTCCTTGTTCCTCTAGATCCCTCTGAGAAAGCAACATTTCATGTACTCAACTCTAGTCCTGTCAAGGAGGGGGATAATGTCACCATGAAATGTGAGACTGATGGAAACCCACAGCCGTCAGACTTTGAATATAAGAAAAATGTACGTTAACCCTTTACGCTGTCAAACTGCTGTGTGAGAACACTATTTTTTCCATATATTTGCCACCTTTCTGGTCAGTCTTTTAATAAGTTAATCCCTGTTTTTTTTTTTCATATTTTCCATACCCAGGACAAACTAATTATTGGTCAGGAAGGTCTTCTGACACTGAAATCTGTCAAGCGTACAGATTCCGGTGAGTACTCATGCCACGTCACAGACTACGAAAACCTGGATGCTGATCTGAGAGACACCCTCACCCTCACCGTCAACTGTGAGTGGGCCCCACACACTCAAACACAAACTGCAGACTTAAGCTAATGTGCGTTAAGAACAATTTACCTCCTGCATGTGGAGTTTCACCCTCACAATGAACCATTCTTTTCAGAAGATTTTTTCTTTCTTTCATAAATCATAAAACTAATAAGGTTACTGTGGAATAAGCTTTAATGGAATCCTTTCAGGGGGGCAAAATCTACTTCAATCTTTCACAGTTCATCTGTTACTTTAATGCTATCCCAACCGCACTGCTTAATTTGATCTTATCACGCACATTAAGTGGTGAGAGCCCTGAAAAAGTCTTAATTTGGCCTTCAAAATAGGCTTAGCTTCAGAGTAAGTGTATTATCTTTGTTCTTAAAATATAATTGTTTTCAATTCTGTTGTGCCATTTTAGAGTCTCCTATATGTGTGTTTTAAAATGAGTAGATTTTAGTTTTGAAGTGGTGTCTTTTTAAAGCCTCGGGCATTCAGGTGTTCCCAGTCTCTTATCTCCCTGCTGTTTTCTGTTTGTCAGACATTGACCCCATGAGCGTAACCCCAAATAAGCCTCAAGTCGTCATGCTTGGAGACAAGGTGGAGTGGCAGTGTAAGACCAAGGCATCTAAACAACATACTGTTCAGTGGATAAAGGTACATTTTTAATAAAATTTGTACTTCTTTATTAAAAAAGTGTAACACTTTGTTTTAGGCTTTTTTATATTTATTAACATTTTTCTTCAACAAGTTTCTGTGTTTCTTTCATTATATCCCTTTAAGGAAATTATATGTCTGTATCATGCTGTGGTCAAAATGGTACAGAGGCAAATCACCACAACACTTTTTCGCTACCCTCGTTTTAAACGCCTCGTTCAAAACAGACTTCTTCACTCTTTCCCTGGGTGCACCTCATTACAAATTAGAGTTGCATTTGGGCCCAAAAGATTCGACCTGACGCAGCCCCAACCTGTAGCCATCATTTCTGAACCCCACCCGACCCGAAGAATTAACAGTAATTACAGGTCCGACCCCCCCCCCCCCCCCCAACATTTTTAATTAAGCTTTAACTGCTTATATAGTTTTAACGGTCAGCGGACGCGCATGGCTGAACAAAAGGGGCATGTTTGTCCTTTCATGGCCGTCAAAGTTAAATCCCTGCTTCTGCCTGCATTCTGCATTATTCAGACATGGACCCTGCTCTGACATGTCTGCTTTGGGATCTCACCTGTTTGGGTTGTCGGCCATGCGCGTTCGCTGAGTACAGCGGCTGAACGTCCATTTGGGCGATGGATCGCTTCCTGGCAGTACTGGTGATCCCATCTGAAGCTTAACTGAACTTTATTTTACCTCTTTCAAGGCTGGTCAGCTTGCGGTGAAATGGCTGCATGCTGCTGGTAATGTATGGCAAGCCATGTTGCCATATAATTGGATCGTCAGCTGCGCGTATCCGCTGATTCAATCAAAAGCCCAAGACTGATCTGGCCCACCCATCCAGCACATTATTATGGGCCCAGTCTGGCCCAAATTTGGGTCGGGCCAGGCCGGGCTTAGAAATGACAGTTGTATTACAGATGGTTGCTGCAGCCCAACAAATCTCACAGGAAACCAAATTCATAATTTCTTCTGATAACTAAATATGCTCACAATTGCAGGAACAGTTGTGTTTTTTAATAATGTGGGCTCTTTTCAAGAGGCACCATGAGGAGTGTTTTTGTTGTTGTTTACAATAGTGTAATATAGAGATTAAAGCTAGTGGTAAAGCGCATGATCCAAAGAGTACTTATGATGTTTTGACAGGAAGCCCTCGTGTTTTCAGTGCTCTCCCACAATACAGTTCAAGCAAAGCTACAAATAAATGACAAGATATTAATAAGGAAGTGACATTTGTCTTATCTTTACTCAGATGTCGGGTCAACTTAAAGTCATTTAAATAACACCTGCTACATTTATGTTCTGTGCACAAAATAAGATTTATTTAAGCGTTTATTCGAACATTCTAAAACAATGCTAATATAGTGCAATTAAATGCACCGAACAAGTAATAAATCAGTATTTGGTGGTAGCGTGTATTCTCTGCACACTGATTTTGAGTGAGCGAGCGTTTGACTCAAAGCTGGAAGCTGACTCTGAAACTGACAGCAGCAGCTTGGAGACAAAAAAAAAAGACTGATTGATTTTAACAGTTTGAAAGACACCAGACAGCATGCCTTTTCTCACTAAGACCCACAGTGCACGAGTTGTTCCTTTCAGTCAGCACAGGCTTGTCTAGATGTCCTTGTAGTTTTTTCATATGCCTCAGCCCTCGGGGCACTGGGGGTAAACATGTGAACACTGACAATGGGAAAGGGTTTAATTGCGTGCCTTTATTTAAATTGATATTTTTTAAAATGGAACTGGAATATTTGTGTGAAGTGGCAAAAGCTTTTTAGTTTGAGGCATGTTTTTAAGAGATAGCTTTGACCTTGTTTTGTAAGTTTCATTAAGAGTTGACCTTGGTTCTCGTTGCGCTGTCTGAATGTAGCAAAAAAGCAACACAGACATGCTGTTTGTTCTTAATGATGCCTTCAATTTTGTGGTAAAGCAATTTTTATTTTTGCAACATATTTTAACTCCTGCCTTAATATCAGTCATGTAATGTCCCTTTCCTTTGTGTTCTGTTTACACTGACTCAATACTTGGTCTTTAAAGCCTGAACTTAATACTTAAATGCAGTGGCGGCCGGTCCACTGGGGTGGATGTGGGGGTGGAAGGCGTCCGTTTCTCTGATTTATTAGACAGGACTGTTTTTCACGAGACAAACCTCGACCTGCAGGAGAAAGAAAAAAGGCGACAAGTTCATGCACAAAAACAAACACAACACTAAATTAAATATTAAGCAACACTTATATATACTTTTTAATCACAGAAAGTGATTCAGGAAATTAATGACCGCTCCACTAATATTTTTGCTCAAGAGCCACCATTGCTTTAATGGTAACAGCTGAAAGGGGAATTGGTAAAACTTCACAATGAGGTACAGAATTTGATTAACTACTAGAGAAATGCCTCAGGAACGAATCAGGAGCTAATGAGTAGTTAACCGGTACTTACTGGGGAACACGAAGCCAAGTCTTATTAGGCGACTACATGTTGGTTACCTTGTAAATGAAGAGGAAGTTATCAAGAACTAATGGGTAGTTACCAAGGACACCAAAGACGAACAAATCAGGAACTAATGGATAGTTAACCAGTCCTTACTGGGGAACACAGCTAAGCCTTATTAGGGGACTAATGGTTTGTTACCACAAAAACAGAGGAGACATTCTCCATGTGGGTACTGAACAAACCATGCACCAGTGAGGTCACAGCTTGTAATTGTCAAAAACCTGTTTCCTAGTGATTACTGATTTTATTGGATTTTTTTATTTTGTAAACCTACTGATGAAATACATTATCAGTTACATAATGTTGCCCTGGTGTCATCTTAACTATGTCTGACTATCACTCACTTATCACTTATTTTGTTCACTGATGTAGTGAAGCATCATACCAGGTACTTACTGAGGAACCAAGCATTATTTAATCACTACCTGACAATTACCTACTAGTTTGTTCCTGTGGTAGCAAACCAGTAGTTCCCTAATAAGGCTTGGCTGTGTGCTCCCCAAGGGAACTAACCAGTAGTCCCCCTAATATGGCTTGGCTGTGAGTGCCCCAGTAAGTACTGGTTAACTACCCATTAGCTCTTGATTTGTTCCTGATTCATTCTTGAGGTGTTCTCTAATAGTTAATCAAATTTTGTGCCTTATTGTAAAGTGCTACTGTGGAATTTAACAAAGCACTGTATTTTTCTTCTACAATTATTTAAAATACTTTTTTTGTTATAGTCTTACAGTTTGAAACATGGATACCCTTGATGTGTTTCGTATTCATCCTCACTTCTCCATTTGTTATGAGTGGAGTGTTTCTGCAGTGTCAGACCTGTTGCTGTAGCTTGTATATCTCTTGTTGTGTCTCCTGGGCGTGATAGAAACCTGGTAAAGAATGTGTTGTTCTCGTGTCGTGGATTCCTATGAAAAGAAGTGGAGAGGAATTGCTAGAGAAAGGTTTATCATTGGGGATGATCTGTTATCACTGTGCTGTCAGTGTGTGTGAAGATTTCTCTTCTGCTTTCCCAGCACACCAGCACTCCTTCAGTGTAGATATCCACAGAGCTGTTCTCCTCTCAATTTCAAACAGAGAGAATCGAAAAGAGGAGAATAAAAAGGATGATAGTGTGAGTCCAGCTGGTTTTATTACAGGGGTGTCTGTGTTCCTCTAGGGCTCTGAGGTCCTTTCTCAAGATGGTACTCTATCAATCGACCAAGCTACCTTTGAGAAAGCTGGAGAGTACGTGTGTGTTGGAGCTGTTTCAGCTGTGCCTGGACTGACAGCACAGGCCAATGTAAACCTCACTGTAAAAGGTAACACACTGCCTGGATTAATACACAGAATTTGTAATCCATCTCAGGAAACAGCTAATGCACAGGACACATTCATATTGGTATTTTTAGCACATTTCTTGAAAAATGGTAAAAGGACTGTACTTATAAAGCACATTTCTGTATAATCACACTATTCACAGGGCTTTTACAACACAATCTGTATCCTTATTTATCCATCCAAACACACATTCATACTGAAATCAACATCTCTACAAAGTTAATTGAATAAATCATTCTAAAGAGACTGATCAGTGCTTTTAAATCCCATTCATACACATGGGACACACAATGAGCGAGGCATTGATGGGTTCAGTGTCTGGCCCAGGGACACTTCAACATGTGACTGCTGCTGGAATCGAACTCCCAACTCTCCCATTGGAGGGTGACTGCTCTAACTGCTCAGCCACAGCTGCCACTGGGAAAATTGGGTGAAATGATTACAGAAACAGAAAGCTATGGTTACTCTGTTGTTAAATCCCAAACTGGGACATTGGAGGAAAACATACAGGTTTTGGAGCACCATATGCTACTACCGAGATTTTGTTTTCCTTCTGTGAAGATGGTTCATAATTCACAAAGCTGTTGACAAACTACAGATGGATGTATTTCAACAGCATGGCTTGGTAGTAAAGGATACAGGTTTTTAAAGTGACCTCTCTGCAGTCCTGAGCCATCAGTCACTGAAAGCACCTGTTCAAACAGCTGCATCACTGGCCCCAAAAACTAACAAATCAGCTCCAAATCATCACATATCTTTCACAAGCTTCAGATAATATTGGATTTAAATGGTTTACAAGTCATGATGCGATTATATTAAGATTTTTATACAATTTTGGAAACAAAATGAGAGGTTTCATGAATAAAACACTTCTAAATTACAGCTGAGTAGTCTGTTCATACAGATGTTTTTCCAAATTTTCCATAGCTTCAATCCTCATCAGTGACTTGCATTGGCAGAATAGATTTCTTCTTTTGGTTCACACAGATTTAAGAAAATTATGATATTTTACTGCAATGTTTTGTTTGCTGAACACTTTCTCACTCCCTGTCCAGGAAAACCAATGATCGAGCCTCCAGCTCCTGGAGAGGTGATGAACCAAGGAGACACGGTGACTCTGAAGTGCTCGGCTTATGGTTTCCCCACCCCCCAGTTTGTCTGGACACCCTCAGGAAACCAGGTACGTTTGTGAAAAACCGCCAAAACAAAAAGGGAAAAAAATAAAAACCAGATGCTGAAACCTTTGTTTGTTTATTGGACTGAAAAACAATATCAGTGTTTTCATTTGTGTCAATATGTGATGTTTAAAGGCATGGGTTTTTATTAGAACCTCACATTTTCTGAAACTTTAAAATGGTTTCAAACACATCCCCCCCCAAAAAAACCCAAAACTTTCAGTGAGACTTCATCTTCATCTTCTTTATTAAAGTACTACACACAGCATGATGAAATATCAAAGTTTAATGACCCTTTTGAAAAACTGGATCAGTTCAGAAGAAAATAATGATGAATGCAAGATCAAAAATGAGACGTACTTCAACTTGCTCAGCTGGCCTTTCATAGGAGCAGACATTTGGAGAGAAATTAAACAAATAAGGAATCGGACCTGTATTCGAAAATCACTTGAGCACGGCTCCTGAGAAAAAGAACTGATGAACACGTTTACAGCACAGTCTGGATGACACAAGGAATTACTGTATATGTACGTATAAATATATCCTCTCATGTTCATTTCTTTTTTTCTTGTTCACTAGCGAGAGTCCGTGTCAATGGAAGGTAACAAGATCGTGAGCACTGTGACACTACAAGCTACTGGTGATGTCATGGAGAATGGAGTGACCTGTGAGGCCTCCAATGAGTTTGGAACAGACAGCAAAAAATTCCCAGTATCTCTCAAACGAGGTATGTGTGAAACCTGTCCACCTCACCCACCACCTCACTTCCACATTATTCATGAACTTTACATAAACATCAATGAAACAAGATGTACCCGAAAGAGATAAAGTAGGTTTTTGCGTAAAATTTCAAGCAAGCAAAAAGAAAAAAAAAACAACACACTCGTCTTTAAAATTAAATTTTAACCAAGAGCTGGAAGCAGTTGCACAAATGCAATACATGCTAAGAGTTTACAATGCAAGAATCTAAATAGTTTGTATAGATGCTGTTGCAAGATTGTGCACTCAGTTGCATGGACAACTATAAATAGAAATGGAAACTTATCTAAATAACGGCTCCAAGTATTCGTGGGAACGCTTTTCTCTGGGCTCATCCACCAAGTGTCTTGACATTTTTGGCATTTTTTGGGCCTGAACATCACGGCTGACCTTCTTTCTTTTGACTTTGGCTCATAAGATCTTTATAAAATGTAGCTTTCCTAATGCTTTTAGACAAAAATAGTCAATTGAATGCAAAGGAGTTTATTTTAGAGCGTGTATATACCCTAGTTTATATAAAAAAATAAAATGTGTCCATGATTTGTTTGTGTTGTGTATCCATGTGTCGAGTGTAAATCAACCTGCTTGAATTGCTTCACAGCCCAGATACACTAAGTTCTCCCACGTGTCACGATTAGCGAATGCAGCTATGTGTTTGAAACTAAGTCACTGATTTACTAACAGCCGTTGCCATCCATTTCTTGCATGCTGTTGCCGTTTCGCAGCACCGCACCTCAAACCTTTCCTCTGTTTCTTCTGTTTTTCACAGCAGGTGGCAGCTCAGCTGAAGGTAGCACCTTCTCCCTCCTCCTCCTCCTCTCCTCCCTTCTACTCTCAGGACTCTTTGTTGTAGAGACCCTGTAAATTAGAAACTTCCCATCCATCCATCTCTTCTCACCCCAGTCCTTCTTTTCTTTTCCTCACACATACATGTACACACATACAACACACACTTTCCACTGCTGTACTGTAATCTTGTATATTTGCCCTCTTGCTACCAAACACTGTGGATATTGTATATTGTTATTCTTCTTCTCTTGACACCTTTGTATGATGTCTGTCATATATTTTGTGGATGCTACTAAGTTTTTGTGGCCCCTTTAGGGGTACAATAAAGAATTTTATTCTATTCTATACCTTCCATTCCTCTCTTTGTTTCTTGACTGTGTCCTTTTTGTCATTCCTTCTTTCCAACTGCCTCTTTACTTCCTGCGTTTGTCCTTTCAACATTTCCACTTGCCTGGTGCTCGATGTACAGTAGATAGCAGCACTTTCTTTTCGCCAATGCGCTCAGTGGTGTGTGTTTTGGTTGCTTTGCTATGCTGTGAGACTGAGAAACTCTCTTTCTTTCAAAGTGCTGCTCTCTGGAAACCCTGTGCTAAAGTCAGGTCTGTATGGCTAACTATTGACATGTGATGTAAGTGGTGTTTGTCTAGAACCGTGTGTTACTGTGTGTGTATTGATGTTTGTATGCACACACAGGGTACTGTATTTATGTTTACAAGAGTGATTTTTGTGTTTCTATAGCTTACTTGTTTTACTGTGGTTGAGAGGACAGGGTTTTTTTTTTAAGAAAGAGACTGAACTTGTTAAATAGCACAGATTAACATTTGCTGATCATTTTACGCAGTCTAATATAAAGTTTAACCTTTATTTTAAAACAAAGAAAACTAGAGTAATTGCATTTCCTGGGAAATTGCAGGGTGAATGTTTATTATTGAAGAACTTGTTGAAAAACAGCTGAAATTAGCTAAAAACATGCTGAAAGGTAGCTGAAATGAAAGAGCAAGCCTAGGTTAGCAAAAGAAAGCAGAAAGAACATTTATTTGCTGAATTAGGTTTAAATACGCAGAAATGGCACAAAAAAAATAGGAAATTAGCAAAAAATAAAACTTAAATTAGCAATAAATTGTTGAAAAGTAGCTGAAAAGGCAGAAAGAAACCTAAAGTACCAGAAGGAAGTGGAAGGAGCAGATGTGAGCTAAAAAATATGGAATTAGCTGAAAAAGCTAAATTCAGCACAAAACAGCTAAAAGGTAGCTGGAATAGCAAAAAAAAAAAAAAAAAAAAAACAGAAACTAGCAGAAAAAACTGAAAGCAGCATAACAAGCGAAATTACCAAGAAAAACTTGAATTTATCTGAAAACAGCTGAAATTAGCTAAGAAATGCTAAAAAAAATAGACGTAGAACAAGAACAAGCTTAGATAGATAGAACAAGCTTAAATTAGCAGACGAAAGCAAAAAGGACACGTTTGCTGAAAGAAGCAATGAGCACAAAACGTGGAAATTATCTGAAATGAGCAAAAAATGACTGAAAAGTTGCTAAAAAAGCAGAAAAAAAGCTGAAAATAAAAGATGTTGAGAGAGCACATTTTTGCTGAATTAGGCTAAAAATAGTTGAAATGATTGTACAAAATGTGGAATTAGCTGACAGGGCTTAAATTAGCATAAAAAGAGCTATACAGTATAGTAGCTGAAGTAGTAGCAAAATCTTAAATTTGCAGAAATAAGCTGAAATGAGCAGAAAGAAGTTAGAAGAAGCACAAAAATGTAGTTAGCAGAAATAATCTGCAAAGAGCACAAACAGCTGAAAAGAACTGCTGAAAATAACTGAAAAATGTTTAGATTTGCACAAGGAAGCTGAAAGAAGCCGCATAAAATGTGAAAGGAGCAGTTAAAGGTTGTAAACAGATCTAAAGGTATGAAGGACGTAAAATGAGCTCAATTCATTTTCTATGAAAAAAAAATGACAGAAAAGGCTAAATATTTCAAAAAGCTAATCTTAATCTAAATCTGTATAAGTATAATCTTTATACAGTACAAACTGTTTTGGTAAAAAAAAAAAAAAAAAAAAAAAAAATATATATATATATATATATATATATATATATATATATATATATATAACTTTTGTTAGTAAGTTCTCAAACTGGGTGGTATAAAATCAAAAAAGTGCTGAATCACAATGTTGATGCCTGGCAGTAAAATTCAGTTGAAACAGTTGCTTTAATAGTTAATACTCATATGCCAGATTTTTAACTTTACTGACAAAATAAATCTATGATAATTCAATTGTCAGCTGAAAAGTTTGTTAGTATGCCGTATAATGAGACAGTATTGTAGAAATGTTGGTTTCACTCATCAGATTTACTCAAACATCAATTATTTTAACATGTAATTAATAAATACTATATTTAGTTGCTCATTTTTAACTTATTCATTGCCTTCATTACTACAAAGTATTATTTGGGCAGGAATAAACCCCTAAATTGAACATTTAAAATGATTGTGAATTAGCAAGATTTTATGCACCTCACAAAAGCCACACTGAGATTTATTTCAATGTAAAGAGTCTAGAAATTAAATTGAAATGTTTTGGATGCCTTAATAAAATAATTTGTGGCAAAAAGAAAGCTAAAGGAACAGTTCTCATCGGCTTTCTTCACATTTGTTCTGTGGTGTTTTGTTGAACACACAGACCATAAGACATGTTTTATAATCCAGTACAGCCATAAGCATATATTTCTCTGCAGTTTTGTGTTTGCTGTGTGGTTGCCAGGCAACCAGATGAGATGCTAGGAAGTCAAAGCTCCAAGAAACAGTTCATCATCCCACCCTCTAAGACCACTTAGTAAGAGAAAATATGTTTATTAATTTATCAAGAGAAGAACTGCTGACTATAATTAATGTTTTTTGTTTTTCACAATGAGAGTATGATGCCTGTTTAAGAACACGTATTTAGCATCGTGTCCTCACAATTATGGTAACACAAGTGTAGATGGATGGTGAGTATGTCCAGTCCTGTTTCTGACTCTGTTCAGCCGTCTGCTGTTACCTGTGAGGACACAGGCCCTCCTGTTGGCTCCCATCACATTTCAGTCATTGCATTCAGAAATTAGACTAATCCCACATCCCAATCCCCACCCCTTGTCATCTCCACCCACTCTCCCATCCATCTAACTAATAATTATTTTCACCTGAATTACATTCTCATACTTTTCTTTTTAATCCACCCCAAATTAAACCATCTCCCCCTCCTTTTCCACTTGACAAATCAAACACTCTTCATGGGGCCTCTCTCCTCTTCGTGAATCAAAAATAAATAATTCCATCTTCCTCCAACCTCCTTCACTTCGATCAAATCTCCATTCCTTCCTCTCACTTTCCAATACTACTTTGATATCCCTCCTCCCTGACTGTCCCTCCATCCTCCCCCCTCCGACCTCCCCCTCCATGTGTTCCCTTCGTTGCGGTGATGTAGCTGACAAGCAGCAGGGAGGCTCCACCGGCGTGGTGATAGCTGTGGTGGTGTGCGTTCTGCTGCTCCTGCTGCTGGTGGCCCTCATCTACTTCCTGAGTAAGAAAGCCAAGCTACCCTGCAGCAAGAAGGACCCAAAGGAAGTGTGAGTAAAGGGGAGGGAGGAATAAATGAGGTAACTGGTGACGGCACTTATCTAATATTTTTTATTATTTTTTTTACTTTTAGGGACAAAGGTGAGGGAAACAACAAGGTTGTGGTGGAGATGAAAACAGAAAAACCCAACGAGCAGGACGGACTCCTTAAAAACCCAACCAAAGAACAGGTGAGACCACTGGGACCTGTCAGAGGTCACTGGTCAATAGCTTTGTTTGTTTACATGGACATAAGTAATTGGATTAAACGGCCATTCGGAATAAAAACGCATTTCATGTAAACGCCCCATTTGGATTATATTTGTTGATTCAGCTCAATCCAAATGAATTTGGAAATTTTAAGGCCTTTAAAGGCCAGACTTCAGGGGCATCTGAGGCAGGCTTGAAACACAAGAGTCAGGGTGGCTTCTGGGTAATACCAGATGGCTAGGCCTCAGACTGAC